AAGGGAAGCAAAGCATACACACAAAAATACAGAAATAGGATGGAAACTAAGATGTCTGCTATCAAATACCTAAAACATAGTTGATTACTGTTGATTCTACCTCATGGTGTTCCCTGTGTGCCAGTGCAGAACGGTACTCTATAGTTTTCATTGGCTGATTTCTTGGACCCAGACAGCCAGGACTTTCTTCTGAGGCACCTCTGAGTATGCCAAACCTCCAACATTTGGTTAGCAGCACTTTAGGAATTTGCACCACCCAGAGAACTCCTTCTCCAGGAATCCTCTGCCATTAGCTACAATTTTGACTGCAAACCAGGCTTTACTGTTGGAGGAAAGAGATCGCCATAAAATTTTAATCAAAGGTAAATTATGTGCCAAGCCAAGTAGAAAAACGAGGTCCTGGAGAAAGCAAGGAAAAGAATGAACTCTAACATCTATTGACAATCTACTTATCAAGGTCCTCTTAAGATATTTGAAAATTCTCACTTGAAGAACTGATTCTTCTGGGAGGATTTTTGATAATACAGCTGACTCCAGCCGGCTTTCCAACCATTTTATGCAACACTGTCATTTTATAGAGATTTTAACAAATTTGAGGAGTAGCAACAAGAGTTACAAAAGGTTGTTTTCAGTTTGATAGCTTCAGTGCTACAGAAATATACAGTGATTAGATAAGCTTTTTATGAAATTGCATTTTCAAAGCAGTTGCACAATGCAAAGGGAAAGGAAAAGTGTCACCAAGGATTAAAAAAAAGTATTTAAGAGCTCAACTTGGTCTCCCAAGCAGAGCCCAATTTTTGACATCCAGGAAGTCCTGGGGGCGGGAGGAAGGATAGGAGGAAGAGAAAAACCTTCGCGGCAGTAAAGCGAGGGAGGGTTTCCGCGGCCCTGGCTCACCGGACAGCGCGCGCACGATCTGCTCCTTCTTCCACTCCCACGGCTGCTCGTACTCGGCCGCCGGCCGCTCGTCGTTCTCGGGCAGCCGGCCGTCCCCAGGCCGCGCCTTGCGCTCGGGGCCCGCGCTGGCAGGCGCCTCCGCCCGCGGGCCTCCCTCGGCCGCCGGCGGCTCGTAGGGGGTGTCGTACAGCTGCGGGGGCTTCCCCGGGAGGTCCTTCCCCAGGAGGTCCTTGGAGCTCAGCCTTCGGGCCAGCGTCTCCGACTTGAGGCCGCTCTCGCCGGGCTCACTGGGGCTGTCGAGGAGCTGGAGCGCCTTCACCAAGGGGTCTTTGGAACCTCGTCTCCGAATTTCTGAAATACCAACACATTTCATACACACAGCTCGAAAGAAAAGGTGATGTGAAAGCCTCATAATTAACCGAATTACTTCACCTCTGACTGACTAAAGGTGGCTCATAACGCCACGATTGTTCTTTAAAGCACGATTTCCTGGCAACTGTGCTCTGAAGGCTGAAGCATCAGTAGCTTTAGGGGCCTGAGCCGGACACTGCGATGGAGGCACACTATTGGGATTCTTTCTAGGGAAGCCAGGCCTATCTCTTGGGTGCCGCTCCTTGGGTGGAGGCTTTGACTACAGGGACAAAGGGCCTCACTCACACTTCCTAGTCTTGGTGTCAACTCTGAATCTGAATCTACTTCACCTTCAAAGATTTTGCATCTTGTTAGGTAGCAGGTAACGACTTTAATAAACAACAGTAGGGTGTGGATTTGAAGCCTTAGCCACATACACTGAGGGGGATGTTGATGTGCATTAAACGTAGCCACATACACTGAGGGGGATGTTGATGTGCATTAAACGTAATTCCCGACTTGCAGACATTTGCTGTGGAGGCTGCCTGGCTCAATGGAACCCCATGTGGGTCAGAACAGAACTGTGTTCCACCAGGTTTTCAATGTCTGATTTTTCCTATTTAGGTCACCTGGCTTTCTGGTTAACGGCTGAACACACTAACAATTTACACCTTTCAACTCACTGCTGTTGAGTGGGAAAAGACTAAAATCGACTGAAATCTGACTCTCCAGTGGGTTCTTTTAGAGGCTGTTAAGTCACATGGGAAGAAACTACCCACCTCTCCCCCATGGATCTGCAAGTGGATTCCAACCATCAGAGGAGGTCCCAGGTTAGACAAGGTCACCAGAACTCCCTTCTGACTTCTAGGCAGTGTTAATACACAGGGGGAAGCCAGGCACATTCACAAATACAGCCTCAGGACAATAAATGCAGGGTAAACTACAGTAAGTGTGTAAGTGTGTGAGTGTGTGTGTGTGTGTGTGTGTGTGAGAGAGAGAGAGAGAGTGTATGTATACATGAGAGAGAGAAGAAATGATGACTGGTGGCATAAGCTAAAGTAGTAAGATGCACTACTAGTTCAAAAGTTTCATGTTTCCAGCAGTTCAAATCCACCAGTGGCTTGAAGAAAGGACAGTGGGCAGTATCATTCCACTATTCCACCGCCTCAGAAACCTGATGGAGGGAGCCCCTATGCTGATTCAAAAGTACTGAGTGGAACAACCGCTCCCACTTAAAATGACTTACCATGTTAAGTACTATTTCATGACTGCCCTTTGATATGAGTATTAAGAGCAATATTTCCAACATCACAGAATAGAAGCACTGAAATACAAAAGTTAAAGAAATTGCCCATGTTAACAAGTGGCAAAGCCTAGATTCAAAAGCAGGAAGCTGGGCTCTAGAAACTATACTCTTAGCTACTACACTTGGCTGGATTCCAAGTAGAAGAGAAATGGAAGATGAACTGACTTTGACAGAGAAGGTCACTTCCAGTGGAGGAAGCTGCATGAGCAAAGATATGGAGGTGGGAGATAGAAAGGGCTTGTTCCCATAAGGGTGAGTTGAGAGATAAATTAAAAGGCCAGGAAGCCAGGAAAGGAGATAGGTAGTAAGGAAAGCTGGTAAAGCATGCAGGCCAGGCATCAAAATGTATACATTTTAAAAAGCAAGTTTTAAAAGGTTTAAATTTTTCTAACAGTAATGGAGAACTATTTCTCCAAATGCAATGGAAAACTTTGCATCAAGAGTAACAATTATATTTGTATTTCACTGGAAGTTAACTCCAACTACAATGCACAGATGAAATAAACCAGAATGTTTAGTCTGAACCGAGGTGTAGGAATGGATCCCCAAAAGCTGATGTAAATCAACCTACCTATCAATCAAGCTACCAATTACCAGTCAGGTGGGGAGGGGAGGAGGAGGCATGCTATCAGCATTGTCTGTGGGCTCACCGGCATGTGTTCCTGAGACCTTTGTAGGTAGAGTTTAGCACAACTCCGTCTGTACATAAAATGGGAAGCGACTGCCTGACTTTGTCCCACAGAGTTGCTTATGGATTTAAGTACCACAAGGCCTAGGGATTAGCAGTGAACATGCTATGGACTGCACCACCAGAGTTCTTAATAGAGCTAGCTAAACAATTAGGTGGTGAGATGAACGGATGGATGAAGATGGAGATAAAGGGGTAGAGGTACCGGAACTTCTCCAGGCAGGTGACAATGTGGATCTGGAGCTCAGCAAGGGGATGATGGCCAGAGGTATAGATCAAAGAGTTACTCACAAATAGATGGTAGTTAATGCTGAGAGAATGAATGCAATCACCAGCGAAAAGGAGGCCAGCTAAAAGAGCAAAGATCAAAGGCAGAATCTGACACTCCTTCAGTTAAGGGTGGACAGAGGGAGACTCCAGCAAAGAACTCAGGTAAGCAGGAAAAGAAGCTGAAGGCTGCAGAGCCCTGGAAACAAAAGGAGGAAAGAATAAAAAAGAGGGGAAAAAAGAGTAAAGATAATCTAGAATCAGCGTGGTGACACTATAAAGAAAGATCTCTGATTCAATGAGACATCTATCACGACACAGTTAAAAATGAAGAGTCAAGGTAAAAGTTATTAAAATCAGGACACTATATGCAAAAGTGCAAAATTTATTTACAGGATGTGGTCAGAGTTTAGCAGGACAGGAGCCCTTGTTGGGAGATGGTACCCATTCGATACACTGCATTAGTGCTCAACCCTAGTCACACACTGAAGTGACCTGGGGAACTTTAATAAAATATAGGTGCCTGGGTCTACTTTAAGCAGGCTGGGGCACAGCTGGAGCATCAGTTCTAAAAGCTTCTCATGTGATAGTAAAGAGCAGGTAAGACTGGGCACCACCTCTCTACTTGCTGGGTGCTTGCAGGCCCTAACTCAGTTCCCACTAGAGACAGAGATAACTCACCCAGAGACAATGCTACCCACCCTAATGACAAAGATACTCCCAGTATCTAAACTGTTGAATTCGGCATGTGAGAGCTAGGACTGCCAACACCCTTTCTCCCACAGCCCTACTGGGAGAGGTGCCTGGGGTTGCCTGAGGTTGCCAGGAGGGGGTGACCTTCAGTCCTACAAATCTTTTTCTTGCTGCCTGTTCTAGATGGAGATATGGAAAACAAGAAACAAAAACATACCCTGCTCTTGGTTCATTTAAGATAACACTGGAATTTTTAAAGAACTATAGAAAAAGAAAGAAAAGAAACCCACAAAGGAATTCAAAGGATGAATTTAGAATTTTTAGGTTTCTGATAAAAACTGAAGTTTACCCTCAGTTCAGATGTTTGGCACAGGTCTGGCGGAAGCCTTCCCCTAAAATCCCCACCTCAACTCTCTCTTAGCCAAGACTGAGTTTATTTCAGCTTTAAAATAGAAGTCCCCACTCACAAGGAAATGTCAATAAATTTGTATTAAAATTATATTCTAGGGAGACCTGGTGGCCTAGTGGCAAGAAGCTGTGCTGTAATCTCCAAAGGGGCACAGTTCGAATCCACCAGATGCTCTGCTGGAGAAGGAGGGGCAATCTCCTGTGCCAGTCGGACTCAACTCGATGGCACACAAGAAAAAAAAATTATATTCTGTGATTAGTATATTAATATACATGTATTTAAATTTTTATTTTGGGGTAAGGTCTCTCTTCTCTTTTGGAATATAAAAACTCAATTCATTGCTGTTATGTTGGAACTGGCTCAAAGTTCACCCTCTAGTAGGTTTTCAGAGGTTATAAATCACAACGGAGAATTGATAATTTTTCTCCTGTGAAAAAGCTGAAAGATTTGAACCACCTGCCTTTGGGTTGGCAACACAACTCCTTAACCTCTAAGCCACAAGAGCTTCCTTTGGACAGTCTATGTAAATGTAGTATTCTGTGAGGAACACTGGAGAGTACATAAATTGATTATGTCTTTGGTTTTGGAACTGGGCAAAAGATTTGGCGGCTCAATGTTTAAATACCAGACTGCTGACTGAAGGGTTGACAGTTCAGATCCACCCAGCAGCTCTTCAGGAGAAAGCCCTGTCCATCATCTCCTGTAAAAGTTGCAGAATTCTTTCATATATAATATGCCTATGTAAATAGCACATAAACACAGGCAAATAGTCAGCATAAGAAACCAGAAGATTGTTAGGGGCCCTTGTGTCGAGTACCACTCATAGCAACCTTGTGAACAACAGTTTTGAACCCTGTCTTACCCTGTGCCGTCCTCATCATCTCTGACATTTTTGAGCCCCGTGCTGCAGTCACTGTGTCAACCTATCTTGTTGAAAGAGGGTCTTCCTCTTTCACTGACCCTCCATCTTTCCAAGTACGATGTCCCTCTCTAAAAAAAATAGCCTTTCCTAGCAACATGTCCAAAGTATATGAGATAAAGCTTTATTACCTCTATTATCCAAGGAGCACTCTGGCTGCACTTTCCCTAAGACATATCTGTTTTTTTGGTAGTTCATGGGACATTCATATCTCTTCTCTAATATCACCACTGCTCAAAAGCATTAATTCTTCTTCTGTCATCCTTATTCACTGTCCAGCTCTCA